CAACCGACGGGGCACCGGGATTCTTCCCGGCTCCGGACAAAGTCAGGTTGCCGGAGACCTTCGTTTTATTCGCTGGACAAAAACCACGTGCTCTGGGATTCCAGCAAGAAACAACCAAAATAGCGCTAAAAGCCAAAGATAAAGTTTTTGTCTTTAGCGGAAAAAACAGGAGACTTTGATTTCGTATAAGACAAATGACTATAGTAACCTCACACTTGACGGCCGAGACGGGAAAAAGTAACGGAAGGACGGTCGAAGGTAACTTTTCGCAACAGAGGATGATGGATGGTAATTACGAAAGTTAGGGACCATTGTTGGTGATGCCACCAAACTCCAGGGACCATAGGTGATATTTACTCTATACATTAAGTACATAGTTTGATATAGGTATTATCATATCATAATATAATATAATACCTCCCCATATATTTATTTACAACAATTTAACAAATTCTTTTTTGTTTTTTTTTTTTGACAAAAGACTTTAATTCATTAAACCAGAAGCAAGAATTTGAGCAAGATAAAGAGGAGGCATATCAAACCACTCCTCGCAACCTGACGTGGAAACGGCTTCCTGAGCTAGTGCGTGGGCTGCACGATTCGCAGATCGCGTTACAAAACCAAAGTTAACCCCATTGATCAGGCAACTTGTTTAACATCATTATTAAACCAGCTATATTATTAGTGGTTGTTATTATATTTTTGTTAGAGTCTTTAGTCTTCCTAAGTTGCTCCACCTATTTAGGTGGTAGACTCTTGTATATAAGCGTGTAATCGTTTGTTCTCAATCGATGAATTAATCCCTTCACAATTATATTTGTCACAATGGAGCGGCTCAGGTGGCGGCACCCTCCGAGCGCTGAACTCCTACCGTTCTCCAACAGGCACACCATTACGTGTCTATTAAGCTGACGGCCACGAACTACTTGTTCTGGAGGGCGTAGCTTGTCCCGTTTCTACGTGGACAAAATTTATACGGGTTCATGGATGGCACACATCCGTGCCCACCGGAGTTCCTTCCGTCGGCGACAACCTCAGCGGCTGCCCCGGTGCTCAACCCGTTGCATTCGGACTGGGTCCAACAGGACCAGTCCATTCTTAGCATGCTGTTCTCCTCCCTCGGTGATGAAGTCCTCTACCTAGCCATCGGACACTCGACTGCCAGAAGTGTGTGGGGAGCGATCGAAACTGCCTTGGGATCAACATCTCGGTCGCAGACGCTCAGCCTCTTGAGGCAGCTACAAGGTCTCCAACAGGGCGATTCGACCACCTCGTCTTACCTTGGACGTGCTCAGGTTCTGGTAGAACAATTAGCGCAAACCGGCAGACCAATTGGACTCGATGAAATCAATCTCCATCTTTTCCGGGGATTACGCCCGGAATTCTGGTCACTAGTGGCGTCTCTCACCACCAAACGAGCTCCGCTCACCATCCCGGAGGTTGCAGACCTACTGAACACCCACAGCTACCTCTTTCCAGAAGAAACCGCACCGGCAGCTCCAGACTCGTCCGCCTTACTTGCTCAACAGTCGCTGTCCAGAAACAAGCACGACGGTGGACGGGGGCGCGGACGTAATCACAGGGGGAGCCGTGGTCGTGGTCAGAGAGGACGAGGTGGCGTGCGCTGCCAAATTTGCGATATACCGGGTCATACCGCCCTCACATGTTACCGGAGGTTTGATGATGCAGGTAATCACCATCCAGCTCAAGCTCAGGGTGTTCGACCGTCTCATGCGCAAGCTCACATGGCGTATGCTCCAAACGACCATGCGTCCGCCCCCTTCTCGAACGTTTGGCTGCCGGACACAGGTGCCAATGCCCACGCTACACCGACTGTCGATGGCCTTACTGGAGTAGATCAGTACACTGGCGGGGATTCATTGCAAGTGGGAGATGGAAATGGTCTTCCGATTGAAAACACAGGTTCAATGTCTTTAAATTCCTCGTCTCGGTCTCTGTTTCTAAAGCACGTATTATATGTCCCTGAATTACGTGCATCTTTACTTTCGGTCCAAAAATTTACCCAGGACAATGATGTATATTTTGAGTTTCACTCTCTTTATTTTGTTGTGAAGGACCGTACTACTCAACGCATTCTACTTAAGGGCCCTAGCTCGGGCGAGATGTACACACTAAATCTGTCCAATCCGGTTGCCTTCCTGTCAGCTAAAGCCTCCCCGAAGACTTAGCATGAACGCCTTGGACATCCCCATAATCGTGTCCTGAGGCAAATCCTTCCCGTTTGTCCAGTAGTAGGTTCAGTTAGTTCGTTGAATAAACTATGTATACCGTGTCAGATGGGCAAGTCTGCGCGCTTCCCGTTGACACGAGTTCAAAGTTCCAGTCGTTTTGTTTTAGATTTAATTTTTTCGGACATATGGGGACCATCTTCCATCCCTACAGTCGATGGGCATAAATATTTCGTTTTGTTTGTCGACGACTTCTCCTGGTTCATGTGGATTTATCCCATGCGCCTCAAGTCCGACATTTATCCTATATTCGCCAAGTTTCGTACTCTAGTGGAAAAACAGTTTTCCCGTTCGATTAAATGTATCCAATCGGATATGGGAGCTGAATATGTTAAATTAGGTACGGTTTTTGCAGCCGCAGGTATCCAACACACGACATCCTGCCCGCATACACACGAACAAAAATGGCCGTGTGGAGCGCAGGAATCGTCATGTCGTAGAAACTAGGGATGTCAATCGGGCCAGCCCACTTGGTTTCGGGCTAACCTTGTCGGGTTGTCGGGCTAATCGGTTAATTAATATTTTATTCTCGAGTTCGGTTTGGCCCTAACCCTAAACTTCGGGTTGTCGGGCTAATTGGGCGGGTTGAACAATCTGAACTAAAATTAGAAACTGAAAGTGAGTACTCATATTTAGAGTAGGAATAATAACGGGGCGAGGCAAAACGGAGGGTAGCATTTAGTTATATATATATATATATATATATATATATATATATATATATATATATATATATATATATATATATATATATATATATATATATATATATATATATATATATATATATAGGCGGGTTCAGGTGCGGCAGTGTCTTACGGTGCGGCAACACCAATAGTTCAACAAATATGCACCATCAACGTTAGGAAAATACACCACACAAAACAGAGTAAACAGAGCCCTGCATCACCAAACACACACCATTAGGTGTGAGTAAAAACACCATACACTGTTCGGAAATACACCATTGGGGGTGGTGAGTTATAAGGTATATTTTTTTGAGTCTGTTGTGTATTTTGTGATGTTTTATTGCATTTTATTGTGGTGTGTTTTTATTACACTGTTAGTGCATATTGTTAACACTGTTGGTGTATTCTGGAATTTGACCGCACCGCCGCATATGAGCGCTCTTATATATATATATATATATATATATATATATATATATATATATATATATTTATTTATATATTTATTTATTTATTTATTTATTTCTTTTTAATTATAATAATTATTTTATGTATGTTAAGTTTCACATCACTTCTATAATAAAAAATAATTTTCAATAGTTCGGGTTGTCGGGCTAGCCCTTTTAATTTCGGGCTAGCCCTATCGGGTATCGTGCTAATCGGTTTCGGGCTCGTCGGGCTAATGTGTTTTATCAGGCTAGCCCGTTCGGGCCATAGCCCTGTCGGTTTCGATTTTTATCGGATTGGCCCATCGGGTTCGGGCTAAATTGACATCCCTAGTAGAAACGGGCCTTGCCTTGTTGGCTCGTGGTCAGGTTCCCAAAAAATACTGGTTCTACGCCTTTGAGGCAGCTACTCACCTTATCAATCGTCTGCCATCTCCAGTGTCAAATGGCACAAGTCCCTATTTCCGTCTGTATCAACAACATCCAAACTATACGTTACTGCGTGTGTTTGGGTGTGAATGTTTCCCATACTTACGCCCTTACAACTCACATAAAATGGATTATAGGTCCAAGTCTTGTGTGTTTCTTGGGTATCCTGAATCTGTTTATGGCTACAGGTGTCTGGATATTCATTCTAGATGAGTTTACATTTCTATACATGTTAGGTTCAATGAGATGGTGTTCCCGTTCGCTCAGACGCAACCCAAGAATGATGTGCCATTGGCGTCCACCCATCCATGGGCGTCTGCCCAGCTACGACCTCAGGGCACCCGGGCAGAATCTATCGTGGTGAGTCCACCAACAAGTGGAAATAATTCGGCTGGGGTGGTGCCGACTTCATCCTCCACGGCGGCACATGCATCCTCCTCATATCATCCTACAACGTCTACATCGACTACAACAAGGCGGCGGCGTCAACGTCCCACCGTCCGGACCCATGTCATGAGGATGCGAACTACCACGGATGCACAAAGAAAGCGTCCTACCGCTATGGTTGCATCGGTCGATGATGATGAGCCGACATGTCATTCTCAGGCTATTCGCCAACCCCAGTGGCGTGAGGCTATGAATGCGGAGTTCAATGCCCTAATACAGAACCAGACATGGAGTCTCGTCCCGCAACGCAATGACATGAATGTCATTGGCTGCAAGTGGGTTTATCGTATCAAGAGGAAATCAGATGGCACAATTGAGCGTTACAAAGCTCGTCTGGTAGCCAAGGGGTTCAATCAGATCCCAGGACAGGACTATCTTGACACATACAGTCCAGTGGTAAAACCCACTACCATCCGGCTTCTGTTAGCTTATGCTGTGTCTAACAAGTGGGTCATGCGTCAACTTGACGTTCATAACGCCTTCTTAAATGGGCGCGTCAGTGAAGACATCTATATGCGTCAACCCCCGGGTTATGCAAACCCAAACTGCCCGGATTACGTATGCAAGTTGCAACGTTCGTTATATGGCCTCAAACAGGCCCCGCGTGCTTGGTTTACTCGCCTTCATGACTTCCTGATCCAAATTGGGTTCAGGTCCTCCAAAACCGACATCTCGCTGTTTATTTATGACCCCGGGTCTGTGCGTATCTATCTACGTAGATGACATCTTGCTAATGGGCAATGATTCAGCAGACGGTGCTTGAACAACTGTCTACCGTGTTCCGCATTCGTGATCTTGGGAAGCCAAGATTCTTTTTGGGGATTGAAGCTGTTGACGCAGCAGGGACAATAGTCCTTTCCCAGAAACGGTATATAACTGAGCTGCTCCGTAGAGCAGGTATGGAATCATGCAAGCCGTTAGCAACACCTGCCTCACCGTCCACACAAGCTGCGTCGCATGACTCTGACGCTTTCGAAGATCCGACCCCTTATCGTCAGCTGGTTGGGTCACTAATGTACTTACTGATAACACGGCCCGACCTAGCCTACTCAGTCAACAGGCTCTGTCAGTTTATGCATAACCCAGCTCAGGGCTACTGGGGTGCACTCAAGCGAGTGTTTCGCTATGTCAAAGGGTCGCTAGACATTGGGCTACGTATCACTCCATCCGTAGTGCCGGTTCTACATGCCTTTTCTGACTCCGACTGGGTCGGATGCTCTGTGGATCAAAAGTCCACAGGAGGCTATGCTGTGTTCTTGGGACCCAATCTTCTCTCCTGGGTGTCTAGGAAACAACGCACGGTTGCACGCTCGTCTACGGAAGCAGAATACAAAGCCCTCGCAAACGTTGCAGCTGAGGTAACATGGATCCAGTCCCTTCTCCGCGATCTAGGCCTGCTCCTAGCAGCTGTACCTGTCTTATGGTGTGACAATCTCGGGGCTACATACCTCTGCTCCAACCCGATTTTTCATGCCAGAACCAAACACGTGGAGCTGGACTATCACTTTCTCCGGGACAAGGTCTCAACAGGTGCCTTGAAGGTTAAGTTCGTCTCCACTCACGACCAGCTGGCTAATATCTTCACCAAACCGCTATCTGCTGCTAGGTTTGCTGAGCTACGTCACAAGCTTGGCGTTGTGCCCTCCCCCCGCCAGCTTGAGGGGGAGTATTAGACCAGCTATATTATTAGTGGTTGTTATTATATTTCTATTAGAGTCTTTAGTCTTCCTAAGCTGCTCCACCTATTTAGGTGGTAGACTCTTGTATATAAGCGTGTAATCGTTTGTTCTCAATCGATGAATTAGTCCCTTCAAAATTATATTTGTCATCATTATCATCTACCAAAAAACCAAAAGCAGAGTAACAGGAACTTGAAAGTATAGCATTGTAACATAATTGTGAGTCAGTCTCAACATCCACTTCCCCCATTCCAGTATCTCTGAACCAAATGAGCGCCTCTCGTAAACAAAGGGCCTCCGCCTCAGCCACGGTATGTTGGCTAGGAACGTAGGTGCACCTTGCTGCCAAGAACCGACCCGTGTCATCTCGCAAAACCCATCCAAGTCCCATGGTGTTGTGAACGTTATCCACCGCAACGTCCGTGTTTAATTTGAGCTTCCCTGACGATGATGGTTTCCACAATGGTGTTTAATTCTTTTTTGTTTTTTTTTTTAACAAATGATTTCTCCACTATTCTTTCACTCTCCATCTCTAAAAACATTGTTCTATAATTTTTGATTAAAATAAATTATGTGAAATTTAAACATATCCATTGTATTTATAAAAAGAATGTTTTATTTAAAATATTAGACGTGCTGAATTTTGATTTACTATTTATCAAATATTTTCTCTAAAATCAATTGAATATCTATTTCAAATTAATTTGCTAAGACAATTAGAATAGTGTTTGCCAAATTTATTATAAGGTGTATTTTTTTTTTTTTTGGGTTTTCAAATTAAGCGAAAATAATAATGAATCAAATGACTGAAATGAGTTAGTTTTGGTCCTTTTGGACATAGAGCCAAAACTTAACCGCTGTGCATTACGGCAAATTATGCTGTGCATGGTGTATACGGATGCAAAAACGACGTTGTTTTAATAAAACGCGCGTCTCCCCTTAAAAAAAAAAAATCAGGTTCGATTCCCAACAACAACATATGAACTATAATTCCATAATCGATGAACTATAATTCCATAATCTAATCTATGAACTAAAAATTCCAGAATGAATGAACTAAAATTCCATAATCTATAAACTAAAATTTCAGAATCGATAAACTACAATTCCATAATCGATGAACTATAATTCCATAATCAATGAACTATAATTCCATAATCTATGAACTAAAATTCCAGAATGAATGAACAATATAATGTTGTTGCTGGGAATCGAACCTGAATTTTTTTTAAAGAGGAGACGCGCATTTTTTAATAAAACGACGTCGTTAACGATGGGTGCATTACGACGTCGTAAAATTTGAAGCCTGAAAATGTAGGTGAAGACAAGCCCAATATCGAGTGGTGGTTAGGCGTTAAGAGAAAAAACTGGAAAAATTATACACTCACATCTCCCGTGAGGGAGGAGGCGTAGAAATGAGCCTCCCCCTCCTCCTCCGCAGAGCGGTATTCTCTTCCGGCCTACCTCCCAAAGTTTTTGGGTTTACAAATCGGCCGTTCGGATCTCTGAATGTCGCCGGCGAGTCCCTCGACTGCTCCACCTCTCCTTCCCTCATCCATGGAATTCACGTTTTCCACTGCCCCGTAAGTTTTTTATTTTTCAATTTAATGGACCCCGAACATTTGCTTATCGCATGTTAAATAATGGAAAACGAATGCTGGTTTGCGAATTAGGATGAAGTGGGGATAGTTGCAAAGCTATCGGATTGCATTGCTTCCAGGGGTGGAAATATCCTCAATGCTGATGTCTTCGTGCCGGAAGATAAGCATGTCTTTTACTCAAGAAGGTCTGCTGTATTCTTTATGTTTTTTTTTTCCGGATTGAATACTGATTAGTTTGTTATTGTTGTTGTTTTGGTATGAGTTTATTGGACTTAAACTAATTGCGCTTTGGTATGTGCCAATTACTGTTGGATGGGTCACACTTGTATGAGACCGTCCCACACATCCTTATTCGTGAGATGGATCGGATCAATATGAAAATGTAATACTTGTATTATAAAAGTGTAATACTAATCAGGAATAAAATATTTGTTACTTGGGAAAGTGTAATGCTTTTGAGGGAAAATGTAATACTTTTTATATTTTGATGTAAAAGTATTATATTTTTCATAAAAAGTATTACAATTTCCTTATAAGTAATGTTGGCAAGTGTAAGGAAAATGTAATACTTTTGAGGAAAACTGTAATACTTTTAAATCAAAATGTAAAAATATTACATTTTACCATGCAAGTAATAAATACTTTATTCTCGATGAGTATTACATTTTTCAGTATAAGTATTACATTTTCATATTGACCCGACCCGTCTCACAGACAAGGATCCGTGAGACTGTCTCACACAAGTTTTTGCCTGATTGGATTATGTAAATTTGTTGATTGATTGCAGAGGTATTTTGTTGTAAGATTTGTTAGCATTTGGTATTGCAATGTTGTTTTGGGTATTGGTGTCTTCCACTAGGATGTGAGAGTTTACATAATATTGTTTATGCTTAAAAATTTATCAACTACTTCATTGTAAGAGTTTGCTTTATACGGTATCGTTTATCCTTGAAGCATTTCTCTTCTAATGCACCATTTCATTTCATTTTTATGCAAGAGGCTACATACTATTATTGCTCAAATTGAGAATGTATACTCCAAGATCACATATCCATATGCCCCCTTTTTATTAGTTCATCAAGTATACGTTATGGAGATCACATGAGTTTCACTGTTAAGAAGGAAACAGTTTTAGTCTGTCTTGTAAAATAAGTTATGTAAAAAGGATGCGCAACGTTTTGATTTATTTTTTCTTTAAATATTAGTTATGGAGCAATTCTTTTTACAAAGTAAACTAGCCACATACTTTGAGTTTTCAATTATAATTTCCTTGGGTACTTTTTGTACAAATAAGTTCATAGCAAGGAAAAAAACTCTGTAGGTTTCTGCAATAGCTCTACTTAATAGATTGTGCTAAAAGTAGCTTGTTCCAAAACAATAATGAGGTTTTTGTGTTTTGCTCAGAAAAACCAAGCAAGGTGAACTCAAGTTAGCACATCAATCTTAGATTCTTAGCTTGAGTTTACAAATCACCTACATATATTAAAATTGATAAGTACACTAGATTTGACCGAAAAGGAAAGAAATAAAAACCAAAGCTATTCATGTGATTTCACTTGTGTAAGACAGGAGTAGAACTATCTCAAACAGGATTGTAAGTAACACATAATATTTTTGCATTAAATTTAAGTGATAATTTCATAAGTGTGCCATGTTCTCTCCCTGATTTATTGGCTTTCAATACTTAAAATTTGTTTAATTTACACTCTTGTGATGTTGAGGGTCAAATAATTGGTTCAAATATCTAACTTAACTAATGGTAAAATTAATATACTACACATTTCGAATAAGTGCATGCATGTTCTCTTTCCTGCTATAATTTAATTCGTTTTGCAACTTACAGTGAATTTGTGTTTAATCCTGCTAAATGGCCACGAGGCCAAATGGATGTGGACTTCCTAAAGCTATCAAAGATGTTTAATGCAATGACGTCTGTCGTTCGAGTGCCTACTATGGATCCAAAGTATAAGATTGCTGTTCTTGCATCAAAGCAGGTTTTTGTTCTTAAGATGGACTGGGAGCTAAATAGTGAAGTTATGAGCACAATTTTGAGCATGTTGTCATTGCTTTCACTATGTTATGCAGGACCACTGTCTTGTAGATTTACTGCATGGGTGGCAGGATGGAAGGCTTCCTGTTCAAATAACTTGTGTAATTAGGTAAAAGTTTAGGAATTCTTTATCTTTAAGATTTTCTTAAGAAGAATTATTCACAATGCTTGATCATCTTGTCTACAGTAATCATGATAGAAGTTCAAACACCCATGTGATTCGATTTCTTGAAAGACATGGAATTCCATATCATTACTTGCATACCGGTAATGATAATAAAAGAGAAGGAGAGATCTTGGAATTAGTTCAGGACACTGACTTTTTAGTCCTTGCAAGATACATGCAGGTAAAAAAAAAAAAAAGTCTTTAATTCGAAGTGTATTTAAATGACGCCAATATCTTGGTGAAGAATTTTTGGTGTTTTTGTTTAATATTTTGGATTCAAGTTTTCTTGGCTGGCAAACATATTTTTTGCTTGTTCTTTGTTTTTAGCTTTACTGATACTCGTTTTTTAATAGTTCGATTATTTGTCTGTCCTTGTTTCTTGATGTTGTAATCACTGTGATTGATGTTCCCCTGTTTTCTGTAGATACTGTCTGGAGACTTTTTGAGCAAATATAAGAAAGACATTATAAACATTCATCATGGCCTGCTTCCATCATTTAAGGGTGGGAAGCCAGCTAGGCAGGTTCGTTATTTAGTCTATTGATATTTCCAAATTCAATGCATTCAACATAAGTTGTTCCTGCCATACAATGTTAACAGGCCTTTGATGCTGGTGTTAAATTGATTGGTGCAACAACTCACTTTGTCTCTGAAGAACTTGATTGTGGGCCAATCATTGAACAGATGGTAATACCATTGTCTTGAAATATGCCTTTTATCTCATCTTTTCTAGATTATTTTTTCCATAAATGGCACTTAAAATCATAAACTGAGGCAAATTATTAGGCAATCCATGTCATACCGCTATAATGTTCAAATTGTATCAATAATGTTAGATTCTATTAATAACGATTTTCAAATTATTTTTATAACAAGAATATTCAGGTTAATGTGGCTTTCTCACAGGCCACACGTAGCCTAGGTACATTACGGTCTAACTGTTCCAGAATTGATAAATTCTGGTGTCTTTTTAGTAAAAGAGTCCTGTGTTTGCTAAAAAAGGGGAAAACAATTATGTATTTGACGGTTTCATATTCAGCTATCACAAATTGACAATGGTCTTGCTGAATCTTTGGCGGCTATTAATTTATTATTGTCTTTAGGCATCATGTTAGTCCTATAATTAAAGAAAAGTAGAGCATAATAATGTTTTGTATGCATACTGAGTATTGTTGATCTCTCGTAACAATTGTGTAGGTGAATTTGCATGGTATGGCAATTATATAGGGCTTTTTATATCATTCCAGGTTGAAAGAGTTTCCCATAGAGACAATCTGCGGAGTTTTGTACAGAGGTCTGAGGAACTTGAGAAACGGTGTCTTGCTAAAGCAATAAAGTCATACTGTGAATTGCGTGTTTTACCTTATGAGAGAAACAAGACTGTTGTGTTTTGACAGTGCCAGGAAGAAGGGGAAAGGATAAAAACACAGTTAGTTCAATATTTTAGAAGTTCATGAAATTGAACATACACTAATTCTTACAGATACCTACTGGAAAGTCCACATCTGTGCAGTAAAGATACCAACTCTCACTCCAAAATCAATAATATTTGTAGCCCAATGTTGTATTCTTGGCTTAATTCCTTTTTTACTCAATGCTTCTATAGCTGAATGTAAGCATTTTTTAATGTTTCAAGTTTGCTGAATAATCATTTTGATTTTGTGCATTCATTATATTTAATGTTCGAGTGTTTAATTGTAAAGTTTAAGTGTTGTAACTTTGTTGGTAGATTTTTGGTTTTTTGGTTGAAGACCCTTTTTGGGTGCAAATTCTAAGCTTGTGTTTACCCATGCAATACTTGCTTTCAAAAGTGTGTGTCTTACTATCAGTACTATTTTTCTCTATACACCAGAAAGTTAAACTCCCATTCAAAATTTAACAGTAATAATATAATATCTACTATATCTACTATCTACTTCTACTATACTAATAAGAGCCCAAGAGAGTTAGGCCTATAATTGGTAGAAAAATGGCGGTCACAGATTTTAATCAAATGAATGGCTCAGATTGATTAAAAGATTGATTAGATTTAAATTTTACACTAAATTTCCTAAAATACCCACACACCGTTACTAATTCCGTTAAAATTTTAAGAATTGCCGTTAATTCACCGTTAACTTACTCATTGATTTCAATAAAAAAAAAAAAAAAAAAAAAGGTCTTAGGTTCGAACCTCATCCCAATCAAAGTTGGCATAATTAGTACTCTATTTTACTCTTATTAAATTATATAAATAATAATTTAGTAGTTACAACAAAAAATAATACATATGCATTTCTTTAATTTAGAATTATGTGTCCACAATGCCTTTATTCAAAAAAAAAAATTATTCATTATCAATAAATTAAATAAGAGAAATAATTTTATTAGTTATATTGTCTTTATTTTTCTTCAATATAAAAATTCTTTATATTCAAATTTATTAATTGATTATATTCGCTACATTGTCCTTACAATGTCTTTATTCAGTGAAAAAAAATTATTAATTATCAGTAAATTAATTAAAAGAAATATTTTCATTAGTTAAATTGTTTTTATTTTTCTCAAATGTAAAAATTTTTACATTCAAATTCATCAATTGATTATATTCACTACAGTATCTATTATGTTTTTTGTGCACTATTTTTCTAATTAAATATCAAAGTTATAATACAAAATAATGCTATATATTTATTTACCAAGTATTTCATTAATACCATGAAAAAATTTAAAAAAATATAATTAATAAAGCCAACCATATTAACTACTTTGAGAGATTTTGTGACAAAGAGAGTATTCAAATCACACAACAAATTGAAGTGAGAACTACCTCGCAATGTCCTTGTTTGACAATCAGCAGTTAGCGGATTATACTAGCGGATTTGACCAGCGAATTTATTTAATTATTAACATTGGGTAGAAAAAAATGACCGCCAAATTATTAAATCAAATGAATGGTTCATATTGTTCAGGTTATAATTTTTTTCTTTTAAGATTTTCTAATTTATCCTTAATTATATGATTATCCATTTAACTTTTCCGTTAATTCACCGTTAGTCTAATTCTAATATTAAAGTCTAATATAGAATTATAACTACACCATTAATCTAATTCTAATATTAAAGTATTAATAGAACTTAATCACAAATCCTAATGTCCGAATCTCCTCAAACAATATTAGTATATATTTAATATTTTATGCCCTAATTTTTATGTGTTCTCCCTTATGTCCCGTATTTGGTTTCAACTATACCTATACAATTATTTTATTGACAATTATAATCAATCTTGATTATATTATCTTGCATTTGTAAACTGAGAATTACCTATTTAACCCGCACGGGCTTAGCTCAATGGTTTGGTGGGTAGTATTTGGAGAAGAGACCAACGTTTGAACCTCGGCGGCGGCAGTGCGAGAATTATGTCCAAAATGGGCAGATTCCTTGTGCGTATCAGCATTTGGTCCTGTCTACTGAACCATTGAGTCACCGTGATTTACAACTTCCCACAATGCTCTGTCGGGCCGGAGTGTGGGGGGCCCTTGGGGTTGAAGACTCAACCTTTGAGAGAAGAATTACCTATTTAAATACGCAAATTCAATCTTCAATTATCTATGCATGAACAATTTCAATATAATTCTGCCTTAATATACTTTAAAGTACTTATTTTAAAAAAAAAAAGCCATTGGGCATTATCCCAATCGCGCAATGCGCGTAAAAAACTAGTAATTATTATAAAACAAGTCAAATATTTCGTCAAAAGTTATTGCAACTTTGATTTGCAAGTCTTTCAAAATAAAATTTTTTTTTTTTAATATTTACAAGTCTATAAAAAAAAATTAAAAAATTGTCAAGCCTGATGTAAAATAGAACAAGAGAAGATGAGATAGAAAATTATCAATATTTTATTATTCATCATTCAATCCAATATATACATGATTTATAGAGTTTCAATATAACTACATATACATGAAAGTAAAGAGAAGGAGATACAGAGATAATCATCAGGGCCCCACACACCTCGATCCCTGGTCATTATTCCAAAGTTTCACCTCTATGACCAGTTGAGCTACCCATGCGGGCAATATTTTATTATTCATCTTTCTATATAATATTACATGATTTATAGAGTTTCAGTATAACAACAACACTATAAAGGATGAAGATGTATTATCATTATTTTTTTTTTTTTTTTGGTAGAAAGATGTATTATCATAATATAATATCTCTAGTAATGTCCACATATATTTATTTACAACACTTCCCTTGGACATTACTATATCATATTCATGTCTCGTTAAAAACCTCACTAGAAAAATTCAATGAGAAAAAATATAGTTAAAGAAAAGATTACATGATGTATGTGTGTTTATGTTGCATTAGCTCACTCGTTAAAAAACCTTTAATTAAGAAAATTATATCAAAGGAAAAAGAGTACAACTATTAGTCTCCAGGAGCCAATCTTTAGGATTGATTCGGGTAAATGTCACTCCATAACAATCTTCAAAGCTTACATGTTCTAATATTATAAAAATATTATTTCAAAATAAGTGTAGAAAAAGGGATATGGTATGTACAAATGTACAATCTTCAAGATTGTCACTTGAGTGAACATTATGTATAATAATCTCGTGACTCTTCTAGAGCTCACGTAGGTTGAATTCTTCACACAACAATTTCTAATTTGTGTAACACAAATTTTATTGTCCTCATATAATATATTGGGGGTCGCGGGGAGGGGGGAGGGGGACATAGCATAACCAGTTTAGGACTTGACATCGTGTGGACCAAAGAAAACAACCAGTACCCAAGTAGCCATCAAAATCATACCTTGGTTTCTCGTTTCTCGTATAAATGTCAAACTCTTGTAACTCGAAGATACCAGAGGATGTGTTAAACACTATTTCAATAATTCATCGTAGGAGGAGCACTAAATGTTGCTAGCAATATCAGACATTGTGCGATTATGGAACTTCTAGTCCTAAATTAGTACTCCAACGATATATGTACCCCTAATATTTTTACCATCAAGACTCCTCCTTAATAACAAGGAAAATTTGTAATTTATACTCCTTCATAATATGCCAATTATCAATGTCACTCCTAAATTATTAGTGGTGTAAATATTACCCTACAATATTTAAAACGGTACATATAGTGCCCTCCCGTAGTTTAAATCTTGCCCCTCATTTTTTAAAACGGTACATATATTGCCCCTCCCGTACGGTACTGGAGGGGCAATATATGTACCGTTTTAAAAATTGAGGGGCAACATTTACACACTAATAATTTAGGGATGACATTGATAATTGACATATTATGGAGGGGCATAAATTACAATTTTTCCTAACAACAATGTTTATGGTCCAATCCCCTCTGTTATGTCAAATACAAGAAGTTTAGTAGAATTGCAACTTTATACAAACCAGATTTCAGGATTGATTCCTCTAGAGTTGGAGAATTTGTTGAGCCTTCAAGTGTGTTTTTGGTTGGACGAATCAAATTGAAGGTAGTGTGCATCATTGGCTCCCTTTAGTTTAGCCCTTTCCCAAATTTAAGTGAAAGAGATACGCTGATGATATGATTTTGCCCCTTCTCTATCACTTCTTTTGATATACTTTCAGCATTCAATTTGTGCTAGTAATGCATACTCATTTTTCTGGCCCTATTCATGTTTGTAACTCATACAACAAAGGCAACACTTTTAAATAAAATATAATTATAAAACTAAAACAACAATCACTCAAAAATAACAATAATATTGTTGACCTATTTTAGATTTTTTTTTTTTTTTTTTTTTTTTTGCAAATTAGCACGAGCAACTCAATTGCATATAAGACACTACTAACAAAAAAAAGTGGACAAGCAATGAAGACGAAAACAATGACAAACTTACCCAAAAGCAAATTAACAAAACTTAGAATAATTCTAACCAAAAGTAGTATCTGCTACCTAATATCATACCAACTACACTAAGTATTTAGAAAATTGTTTTTAAAAAAGTGAAAACATTAATTTTAATGCATTCTCCTATATGATCTTGTATTGATATATTTTGAATTACCTATTAAAATACAATCATAGGTATACTTGATGCTGTAGAAATAGCTTGACTTAAACATATATAATTTTTTGTTTCCTTTCTACCCTTGTATAATATTTTTTTTGAACTTTATGTGATTATCAAATCTGGAAAATAACCAAATAGACCCTCAAATTATTTGAGAATCTGGGAACAGAGTGGGATTTCTGTCTTCTGAAGCCACTATCCATCTTAATGACCAAATAATTTACAGAAATTCTACAAACAAATCACCATTTGTGTTATTAAAATCTAAACTGACATCGTGAAATACCAAACCAGAAAGGGGGCAAAAAGTGAATTTGTCAAATGCTCTTATTGATGTTTAACATTCTGAGAGAGTTCTCAGATTCTTCAATGGAAGTGGCCCTGTGAAGAAGATTTTGTATTCCATCAACCCATTTCTGTCTGTGGATTTTATTCTTGCATTTGAACTCTAGAAGTGCCTGTGCAGTTCTCACCCCAAAATATATTTCCCCATTCTCCTTTTCCTTCTTGAATGGCCATGCTGTAGTGTCATCAAAGACTTCATATACAATACCTGCAAATTTCAGATGCAGTCAACACTTGAATTCATTCTATGCTTTCATATTTTGTGGTTCGTTATATTTGATTTCATTAGAACATTTTCCAGCTTTGATCCCACAACTATCAGACCATTTTCACTTTTGACCTCCGACTATTAATTTGTCTCACGACTTTTAAATTTTATCATATTTGATCTTTCTAACATAATTTCTGACTATCGATGACTTATCTTAAAAGAGAAAATTGTCATTTTTCATTATATTTTTTTAAAGATATAAGGGAAGAGACTGAAAATGACAATTTTACCCTTCAAGATAAGTCACTTGTTTCAAATTTAACAATTTAATCATGAAAATTAAGTTGAATAGACCAGATGTGGTAAAAATTTAAAAATCGTGGAATAAAATGTAAAAAATAGTTAAGAATCAAATGTAAAAATGTGAAAATAGATTCATTGTTGTGTGACTAAAAGTAGAGGTTTAAAAAATTTCTTTACAAATCCAATGTAAAATCTACAATAAAAATTTAAACTTTTTTATTAAAAAAAAAAGGAAAAGAAAAGAAAAGGAAAAAGTGTGATCTTACTTTTATTCTTTTTGGAAAAGGCTCCACCAACATGCTTGCTCTTCAACTTGATTACTACCTGGTCACGAGAGAAACACAATCTAATAACCTAAATTTTTAATTTTCTGCAAAATTTGAGTACTTAGCTTGATGATGTTTCATATATACCCACCTGATAGTTCTTGTTTATATAGACAGATACATGTTTCCATCTCAGCAGTCCTGAAAGTTGATTGAGGTTATTATATAGCAGCTTTAATTTGTGATTCTGAAGAAACCAAGGGTAGAGGATAAGTGACATAAGATGTAGTTAGGTACCTTTTCGGGTGATTTGCAGCAAGTCACCTTCAAAGGGGGGATCATCTTCTTCCATTTCTTTGTGATTAGTAGCTGCTGGGTAAGCTTCCATTAATAATGCTGCTTTGTCACAAGGACTTATAGCTGCATTTCTCTTTGCTTCTCTTGGCAATCTCGCCTTCAGAGCCGCCTCTCCCCTCAACGCTTTTTCAAACCAAAACCAAAACTTTAGCTAGTCTAATCCATGGTCTTATGAACTTATATATTCTTTCATATTTTATCAATGTGGACTCTTAACAATTATAAATGCTGTACCTGTGGCGGCTGCAGCAGTGAGAGTTAAAAGATGAGTAGCAGAGCGAATGTCGACGGCGGATCTAACCACCGCGGCCACGCGTTCATGCTCCACTCCCGCCGATTCCGCCATTTCTATACAGTGAGAGGCGAGGAGCTCCGTGGCGGATGCCAGGGCGGCGCCGGAGCTGCTGTTGTCATTGTCTGCTTCTGCCGCCACGGCCGCCACCGCTGCCGCTAGCCCTGCCACCGACAGGACAGCATGCATATGCGCCTTTTCCAGCCGCGCTTTGTCTTTCTTCTGGACCCCCCCGCTACTGCTAATACTATACTCTTTTGGATTGAACCACCTCCCTACAGTTTTCCGCCCATTTCTCTGCTTCATCTGTCTTGACTGCACAACATTAAAAAAATGATTTAGAACCCTGCTACCAAATTGAAAGCATGTGCTCTATCTCAACTAAAAGCTTAAAATAATAGTTGGATTGCACATTAATAGCTATATGCTCAACACTTACAAGATTATTATTCTGTGGAAGTGCAACATCATCGTCTGCCTCAGGAATGGCATCCGGTTTATTGTTGTGAAAGGCATGTTTTTGCTTCTGGGCAAGAAGAGCCTTGGAAATCTCAGAAGCAGAGAGGCTCCAAGATCTGGACAAGAAATCCATCGGCTCCTTGGGCGTCGGCGGCTGAGGAAAAGAGCCTTTCATCTCTTCATCATCCTCTTCTATACTCAAAAGCCAATGCGAATCATCCTTCCTCCATCCCACGATCTTATTTTCTTCCATTTTTTCTCTCACACAAACATTCACCAAATCTATCATCTGCAGCGTAACTCCTCAAGTGGCTTTATATATATATATATATACCCACACGACAGGCCCTGAGGTCTCAGCAACAGAGAGACATGATTTGCCAACACGGCGACACAACACCTGGTCTCGTGCTTGGGACCTCCACGAATTTAGAGCGCTCTTTCGTGAAGAATAATAAGAAAAGCTGAACGTATCCGCCGGTATTCCCACATTTCGATGCATAAAATAATTTAGTATTCACCTAAAATAACATTATTCTGACCGCTCTAAAGAAAACATTACCCACATTTCACGCGCTTAATGTTCCCTAACACACGTGCACCCTTCATTATGCTCACAGACAAATTAGTATTATTTCAGGCGGATTTTTTAATGCAATTAATTATATTTTTCTTTCTTGGTTATGTCAAATATTGGTTTTTCTATGTATTCCAAAAGATATCGTGTATAAGTGTATTTAGTACTACAATTTGTATTTGCCGTCTAAATATCATACCACCATTTACGGCAATTAGGACTGTTAATAAGTGAACGATAAGTTGTGTTATACTCCTGTCATTTCATTTTCTTTGTCTGGTTTTGGTTGATAATGTTTGACTATATTTATTTTTTATTTTTAATTTAAATTTTCATAATATTAAGTTTAATATTAATATATAAAATTTATATATTTATAAACTATATTTAAAGTACTATTAAACATAAAAAATTAAATTTCAAAATAATTAAAATTACTAAAAAAATAAACAATAAAAAAGAGATGGATTGACAAATAAATAATAAATAAGACAGACAAAATGAGATATAGAAGTAGGGCTTCCTTGATCCAGTTATTTTTGTAGGGTCAATCCATTTTAACTAACCTACTATACTCTCCATCATCCAGTCCCCATCTTTCTTCCGATTTCGCATAGTCGATGTCTTAGGAAAATAGATTAATCTATAAATTTATCAAAGACAAAAAATTCCCAATTAGATGATCCATATATAAATATGAGGTTTTGGTCCACCCCTTCCAAAATTTAAAGATAGGTTTCTATTTTTTTTCTTAGTAGGGCGGTTGGTTTGACTTGATCGGTCGATTGGTTGACCGACCGGTCAGGCTAATGGCAGACCGGTCGGCCCCAAAGCTAAGCCTCATTTTTTTTCTTCTCTCTTTATCTTTTTTTCTCTTTTCTTTTTTAATTTTTTCTTTTGTATTGCTTTAATATTTTCACCTCGGTTATCCCCTCTTTCCTCCGTGTATTCTTATTGCCCAATACATTCCTCCTGCTTGATCAGTCTACCTCACTTGTCCCTCATTCTATCAGTCTATCTGACTGGTCGTTCAACTTGTTTGACCAGTCCGTCCGACAAGTCATTCATTTTGTCTAGACGGTCTACCGAATCAGTCCGTCTGCAAAATTTTTTGATTTGTTTCGTCCGATTCCATCCAATACTCCCATCCGATCGCCAAAAATTTTGAGAATGTTTTAGTTATTCTTCCAATGCTCCTAATTATCCATCCAGTACTCCAAATTATCCATCCAACACTCCAAGTTATCCGTTAAAATTTTTTGGATGGGGGTTCAGTCGACCACCACGTGGTGGGAAGGTCAGTCGACTTTCGCAATTTTACTCCTCTCTATAACATCATGCTTAATGTCCAATCTCTGTTCCATCCATTTTCTCCTCTCTATAACTCTGTTCAATTTTGAGAACGTCAAGTTCTCATTACCTCCAACCGGCCAGTATGCCTCCACTCCACACTCGATCCTTAGTATCTCCTCCTCATTCATTTTTTTTTTTGTTTCGCCCCGTTCTCTGTCGATCATCGATTGACTGATCGGCCTACTAGCTGACCGGCCAGCCCAACTGTTCAGGCGATCTCAATTGACCATGCGGTCACCGGTTGACTGGTCAGGCACTGAGTTGCTCCACTTATTTATTTATTTTTTATGTTCGTCCAGTTCATCAATCCAGTTTGTCCTACTCATCCACCTCACCAGTCTGTCCGAATAGTCTCCTAACTAGTCGGTCTAACCAGTCCACCTAACGGCCCACCCCTAATCTCCAGAATTCGAGAACATTTGAGTTCTCAAATTAACCATCCGATACTACTCTCCGATTGCCAAAATTTTGAAAACGTTTAAGTTTTCAAATTATCCATCCAATACTCCTCACCGCCAAAATTTTGCCTGAATCTTTCAATTCTCAAATTATCCATCTAATACTCCAATCCACCAGAATTTTTGAGAACGCTTGGGTTCTCAGATTATCCATTCTCAAATTATCCATCCTATACTCCAATCCGCTAATTTTTTTTAGAACATTTGGATTCTCAAATTATCCATCTTCGTTAACTATCCAGTACTCCGTTAACCATTCTATGCTCCGTTATCCATCTAGTACCTCATTAACCATCCATTACTCCATTCCGATAGCTTCCTGCCTACTAGAATCTTTATGCCGACCAGACTCCGCTTAATAACTCATATACTCTGTACTAGAGCTCTCACCGACCAGACTTTCCACTAACGACTCCTAGACTTTAAACTAGACCTCTCACTGACTGGATTTTATCAAATTTTACTTTCAATAGTCCTGCATTTGTTCCACCATGACTTGATTACTACATTGTGGGTGTGAACTGTCCAAACGATTGTCCTGAAGATTTTAGTTATTTGTTTTGGAGGTAGGTCGCTGCTGTTTAATTCTGAGCGCTTGCTTTAAATGGTTTTGTACACAATGAAAATTACTACGTCTGATGGTTCCTATTGAATTTCCACAATGCATGTTAATAAAGTGGCCAACTACCGAGGGCCAGATGGCCAGCTACCAGGGCCGAGTGACCAACTACTCGCTGCTTAACTATGCAATTTTCGAGTGTATTTATTTAAAGGATATGCCAAATAATTCAAACTAATGGCTTTATTGCGATACCGTAATAGTGGAAAGTATATGGTAACTAACTATATGGGTTTATCTTTCTAACTATCTATAGAATTTCTTAAGCCGCCTTGAATTCCAAATGCACTCAACCAGTCTTCCCTCCATTGCCTCTAGTGGATTACGGGCTTGTGTTTCCAATTCCGTTCTTCCTGTTCGTTACGGTCATCGTCTCACCAATTGGACCTTCCGGTGGGGGTTCTATTTTTTGGTCGGCAGGGATAGGGTCCCCGATTGGGTGTCTGAGTTGCTATAGCCATTGGTTGGGGCGAGTGGCCGGTCTCCCTTTTAGATGAGGTCTACGATTTCCTTTTGCAAAGTGGTGCATTCTTCGGTGTTGTGTCCCACATTCTTGTGGTAACAGAAATATTTAGGCCCTCTAGTGAATGGTCAGACACGTTGCAATAGGTGCATCTAGGTATAAGGGATATGGCGGCGGTAGGTCCGCTGTGGATGTGGGGCGATGTGATCGTATCTCGTACACTTGCCGGGACCCAAGTACGGGGAGCACTCCGTAATGGAGGATGGTCGGTCCTCTGTGGGTACTTGGTCCGTTTTTCCTTTTTGATGGTAGGTCTTCCAGACGCGCTCTCTCCTCTTCAAGAGGCCTTTTTACCTCTCGTTTCCTCTTCTATTGCAAAGCTTCCTCTATTTCTGCATATTTGTTGGCCCGCTAGATAGCCTAGGCGTAGCTCTCGGGTGGGGTGGGGTGGGGGGGGGGTAGGGCTATTCAGTCATCTAAATCCTCATTGTTTGTATATTTTTTTTGCCTTGAATTCAGGAATTCTTTCAACGTTTCTGACTCTCCCTAGTGTATGGAAGTTAAGTCCATGAAACATTTCTTAGCTTTCATACTTCCGACGAAGTGTGTTAGGAATTGCTCTGCCAAGGTCTCAAAGCAATTGATAAACTAAGGGCCAATGACAAGAACCATAGTTTTGCCGCCCCACCGAGAGTTGAAAAGAAGTCATGATAGTACATAGGGTTCTCTACTCCTATTACCATCATCTTTGCTTGAAAACCCACTAGATGATTGCACGGTACATTGGTCTCATCTTATGTAGGCATTGATGGATACTTGAAGTCCCTCGGTGCACTGTACTGTTGGACTTATTTTGAGAATAGGCTGGCAGACAACAAGGACCGAGCAGTCAGCCAATCCTTTGCACCCTCAATCTTGCGCTGGAGATCCTTTATTTGTTTAGCCAATTCTGCAATCTCATGGATTTTGTTTTCCTGGCTGGGTGCGGGGGTCCCACCACTACTCTCGGTTATCCCTTCTAAATAACCAATCTCATTACGTTCTTCTGCCTGTGGTTCTCGGGTGTTGATGCTAGTTGCCCGAAGGCAGCCTATATTTGCCACTAGGGGTTAAGCTTGACATTCCTTCGTGGGTTCTTGTTTGGCAGATTATTTTGGCCTTATTGCTCGGTGATAGGCGGCTGGCTTTGAGGGCCTAGACGGTCATGGACAAAATTTTCCAAATGTTGCCTATCGAATGGACCAGATCCCTGTGTTCTCTTGGGTGATCAGTTCTGGTTGCCTACTCTCTATGTGTAGTTATGCCTGGAGGGGTCCGCTATAGCGAGGACTCCACCTCCACGCGCGTAATCATGCCGCAGGGCCTTGAGGAAGCGCTCTACAGCTTCCAGCAACGCAAAATGGGGTTTGACTGATCAAGTTTGAATGACATCAAAACTGGCGGGATGGTTGGACTAACCTCCTCTTCCTCCGGGGGGTTTTTCAAATTTTCTTCTTGAGGGGGTATAGGCCTACCAGACGATGCACGGGAGGTGAGTCTGCTGAGGGTTTCCCGCAGATCCTAGACCGACTGGTTAGTTTGAGTATGTTACCGTGTGGTCACAATTTGGAGAGATATAAGCATAATTTAGAGAATAAATATTTTGTATTGCTGACTATTGCTTGTTCCTTTTGCATGTATGGGGGGTCTATTTATACTTATTTGGGCCTAGAGCCCTACAAGGAATAAAAATCCTAGACTGCTTCATATTGGGAGTCGTAATTATATTAAAAGTGATGAGCCCAATATGAAGTAGGCCAAATCCTTGATACATTAGGGATAATAAGCCTAATCAGGAAAATTATATCGTGCACCGCGGTGCATAATCAATTACGCACCGCGCATCAAAACATCGTCATTTTGTTTAATGAAAAGAAACGACATCCGTTTCTCGCCGTTCCGCACCATTCCGCAAAAAGTAATTCTGTTATTCAGTTTCATTTTGTATACACTGCAGTTTCAGTTCAACACAACTACAGTTTCATTTCGA